TTAATTGTATAGTCTTTCACTTCCAAGAGGCAATAGGTTTTACAGGGACCTTTATCACAAGATCCATGTTTAATCATTCCTCCTTTATAGAGCTAACAACGGGTGTTGTATAGGTCATATAACATGCTCCCCCAGATACAATCTATTTGGGTCTTAGGTATCTTCATACCATGCTCTCCCAGATTACTCCATCTTCACTAAGAATGGCGTATATTTAAACTTTATTATTTGGGTTTATTCTGTTAAACTTTCTTCTTTATGGCACTTTAAGCACCGTCTTAGTATTCCTTAGTTTTCTTTTCTTGAGGGGTATTATTATGATCATCGTACTCCCCCAGACGATCACATTCTTCATTAATGGATATCTCATATTTCTTTCTCCCCCTCGAAATGTGGCAAGAACTTTTCTGCCACAATTTTGAAAAATCATTCACAACTCTTGTGAATTGAGGAATTGAGTATCTACTTCATTTATCTGATTACTTCATATGTAATGAAGTTATCTGTTAACTGGTATGGGAGTACTTTTTCCTTATTCCATTTCAGAAACTCAACAGAGTTCTTTATCATTAGTACTTTTGCAAGTCACACTTGCATATCATTCTTATCTTTAGTTTCATCTATAACTTTTATTCTCTTCGGATTTATTGAGTGCTTAATGACCGTTACACATAATATGTACGGTCGATACTAGGAAAGCATAATAGCTACTCCATACTTTTCTCCCAGAGTGGGACACATTAAAATCACATGAGTCATCATGTCTTTCTCCTGTCATACAGGATAAGTCTAAGAAAATTTCTGCCGCCATACGGGTTACGCAGGGATTTTCCTAGACTTTTCCTGACATGCAGGTTTTATCATAATCATCTTTTTCCGCCATGCGGGTAATTCCCTGTAAGGGACATAAATGCCAGAATTGGCTCTTTTGACTGCATATTCAATCATCAAAATTATAAACAAATCCGAATGCTTTTTGACACACATGCTTGATCCGACATTGGTCAAATTAAACACGCGTGTTGCTTGTTTTATCTCAAATCTCTATCTCTTTTCTTTTGAAACCATTCTTTAGAGGGGACATACTCCCTCACGTTATGACCTTTCTTGGTCATCTTTCGGGTCACAAGTACCCAACCATTCGCTTTCATGAATGAAGGCATGGAAAACTTTTAGTCTGAGAAAAATTAGCCAATAATCAACAATAATGAGCATAAAAAATAACCCCATGTTGATCTAGTTAAAAAATATGCATATTAAACTTTTAAAACTTTCTTTTATATTCTAGATCACCGTTGTGGCAGAATAAGACATCACCTTTTTACATTAATTCCACATCATCGTTGGGCAGAAATGGAAAAACGCATATAACACATAAATAATGTGATGATAAAAATTTCTACTAAGCAACTTTGCTAAGAAAATAATCATCATTATCAACTTTATTGCAGCGGAAGACTAGCAATATACATTTCTCAATCTTTATCAAATTCTCTGAAAATTTGTCACTTTGATACAAAATTTATCAGAAATTTGACCTTTTAACTATAAGACTCATTGAATTATAATATTGTCATCATCAATGTTGGTTAGAAAATAACAATACCATAATTAAACTTTAATCAAATATCTTTCTATTGCCATAGTAGAAGCTATCAGAATCTGATTTCACCCACAAGTGAAAAAAAAACTTTAAAAAAATTGTTCTTCCAATTAAATTTTCCCGTTGGTTCTAATTTAACTGGAGGATAAAATCTTTACTTTGCAGCGGAAACTTTACAATATTCTATTCAAAAATAATTCTGTACTTTTTTTACTCTCTAAGCAATATAAAGGGGTGGGGGAGCCAGCCGCACGTGACACGAGGTTCACCGTGCGCCGCAACCCCCACCAATATCCCTACCGATCTAGGGTTAGCGCGATACGATGGGAAGCTCAACCACCGTCGCCACCCACGCACACTCGCGCTCACGCCGTTGCCACATCACGATGACCTCCGGCGCGAGCTCGTCAGGTAAAGGAGAAGGTAATACTATACGCCCCACTACCGGAAATCATTGACCCATACGATCTAGTGGCCTAACAATGCTATACAGAAAAAATACAGTCTATAGAAGGATAATAATCTTGCACTTACCTCAACCAATCACATGTCCAAACGATAGCCAGATTGATATGATCGTTGAGAAGAAACATATTAATGGAGAAAGCCACAGGAAAATCTAAAAGAAACGAAATCAAGCACCAACTTAGCAGTTTGTAAAATTAGGAACAGAGAGAAAAAGAGAGAAGCCATACACATCACAGTGATGCTGCACTTCGACGGTCGTGCATAGAGCAGCACATCCTCGCCGCCCTTCTCCTCGTGCACAAGGCAGGACATCCATGCCGACCGGCCTGACCTCTCTGGCTCTACCGCGGATCTGCGTCTCCGATGTCGATGCCTGACCTCCACCCCCCTACGTCTCCCCTCTCCTCTGCGACAACACCCTCCCTCCTCGATCTCTCATCCTCTTTACTGGGTCATCGTCGATCCTTTCCTCTCATGCCGTTGAACCCCGGCGTGGGGTTGGGATGGGGGCTCCTCAGTTGGCCGGGAAGGACTAACGGGAGCTGCGGTTCTGGCGAGATGGGAATGGTGAGGGAGAGGCGGCGGCTGCGGGGAGCCGTGGAGAGTGGGGAGCGGGGGAGGAGGATGGACGCGGGGGTATGGGGGACTGGTTGATAGGGTTTCACCCCACGTTCCCATCGTCCCCACACAGTAAAATTCTTCACGTACATAAAATCGAAGTCAAAGCACCTTATTTCCTTGACCCCACAAGTAACAAGCCCCACCTGACATTCACATGTGAAGATGATATTAATGTACGAGAAGACCAACGGAGGAGTGACTGCGAGCAGCTAATTCGTTCAGGAGTAAAACCATCGGACGGTCAAAAAACTATAGCGCGCGCAGGTGCCCTCTATGGCCGGGTTGCCTAGAGAGGTTTATATGTTCAATGTTCCAATAAATCTCGTGTAATCTTTCGATCTAGCTTTGAAAGCAAACATGAGTACATTCCATGGGTCTTTGAGAAAATCTGAAACAAGACGATCTATTTGTTCCGTGTGGGAGCTTATCTTTTGCCTCGGTGTAATTTCATGAGTTTTGGTATTGCAATGCCATCTGTAGACTTGGTAAAGCAGCAGAAAGACAGAGACTGGCGAGTCGGAGGCGATGGAACGGATCTAGTCGAAGCGCCCGTCGGTGTGGATGAAGCGCTTGAGCGCGCGCATGAGCTCCGCGGACGCGTCGGACCACGGGTCGATGGTGAAGAAGCCGTGCTGCTGCCCCTCGAACTCCCTCACCCCCACTGGCTTCCCCATCGCCCGCAGCCTCGCGGCGTAGTCCACGGCCCTGTCACGGAGGATGTCGCGGCCTCCGACCACCACCAGCGTCGGGGCCAGCTCCACCGCCTCCAGCGCCGGGCTGTCCGGCCCGAACGGGTTGGAGGCCGGGTGGTCGACCGTGGCGCCGGGAGGCAGCGAGAGGCGCCAGTAGCGGTCGTTGAGCGGGCGGTTGAGGAACGCGTCGTCGGGGCACTCCGCCTCGGACCTCGTCCGTTCCGTGCCGCCGAAGAAGGGCATGAGTTGGACGTAGCCCCTGACGCGGACGTTGCCCAGCTCAGAGCGCCCGGCCGCGGAGCCGAAACGCACGGCCAGGTGGTGGGCGATGGTGCCTCCCGCGGAGTCACCGGAGATAAACACCCGAGTAAAGTCGGCGGCCTCTGTCAGCCATGTGTCGCCGGCGGGGCCGGCCTGCGAAGCAAGCCAGAGGAGGGCGGCGGCGCCGTCGTCGATGGCCGCGGGGAGGCGGTTCTCGGGGGCAAGGCGGTAGTCCGGGGCGACCACGACGGCGCCGAGCTCGGCGGCGAGGCGGAGGCAGTAGTTCTGGCAGTTGGGCCAGGTGCGCGAGCCGATGCAGAAGCCGCCGCCGTGGTAGTAGAAGAAGACCGGTAGGAGCTGGTTCCGCTGGCGCGGCCTGTAGAGCCGGAGTCCCAGCCCGCGGGGCGCGTCGAACTCGGCGTCCTTCCACTCCACGGTGCCGTCGTCCCGCACCGGCGTGGCGAAGCCCGGCCCATCCCTGCGCACCACGGCCCCGTCGCTGTACACCAACAGCACGCCCCGGCAGTCGTCCACGACGACGGGCGCGGCAGAGTCCTCGGAAGCCATTATGGCAGTGAACCGTGGTGAGATGGGACTTGCCAGGTGCGAGGTGATGATATAGACCCGGTTCAGTGGAGTACGTGACGTGCGCGCTGCACCAGGTGGTGTTGTGTGTTTGTCGTCGTCATCTCGGCCGGCCGTGCTGGTGCAGGCCATCGACGGTGTCCGGCGGCCGGCCGTGCTGGTGCAGGCCATCAACGGTGTCCGGCGGCCGGCACTAGGGGACAAGGCTTTGCCGTCACGCAATAAATACAGCGTCCATAGGTGGAGCTTGTAATACAAGTATTCCCTCAATTCACATATACTCCTACAAGATGTTGTAACTTTTTTGAATCAGATGTACACATTTCATTTCAGTGTGTTTGTTCACTCATTTCAGTTTGTGTTTGGTCCATATTCGAAATATCCAAAGCATCTCATATTTATGAACGGAGCGAATATATGACTGTTACAACAAGAGTATAGAGCAAGAACGCTATTTTGTGAAACCAGGATGTAAACCACTCCCTCGTGTTTTGGAGGTATGTTAATACGTGAAGCAGGCCCAGTAAACGGTGTCATGCATGTATACTACTATTGGTACAAATAACACCAAGAGATAACAACGTCCTGGTCCTTTTATTCAGTATGGCCGGGCCGGGTACTGTAAGTTGTATTGTAACTCATGTAGTATGTGTTGGAGTCCTCGGGTAAGGCTGTAACAGATCCAAAGGTTTCATGGACGCATTCAGTGGCGGCACCACGACAAACTTGAACAACCGAACCCACTGCCATGGAATCAGGCACTTCGTTGGTCAGATGCAGACGTGGGGTGGGATGAGCTTTCCTGGATTCATGATGTTGTTGGGATCCAGCGCGGCCTTTATCCTTTTCATCGTCTTCAGTGACTCCATCCCCAGCTCCTTCTCCAGGTACTGCCAATGCACACACCAAAGCACTTGTCACTTGTCACACTCATGGGTGCTGACTTGTTGATGACTCATGTGGAAATTCGAAACAAATCACGGCCTTGATAAGATAAAGAGGTCATAGGTCACCTGCCTTCATTTTCCCTGTGCCAACACCATGCTCTCCTGTGCATGTACCTTCCATGGACAGAGCAGTATGAACCATGAAATGGTTTAGTCTCTCTGCTTCCCTTCGCTCTTCCTCCTGGCTTGGATCAAATAGGATAATTGTGTGGAAATTTCCGTCACCGGCATGGGCGATAACCAAACTGAAAACATACACAAGTCAGAGAGAAGGTCCTCCTGGATAATTAAAAGGATAGCATACTGTACTGTCATGCTGGAGCTGCGGTAAGAATCGCATGCTACTTCATCAAGAGTTCGATCGAATTTTCAAACTGCCCTGCTCTCCTATAAATACAAATCTAATACAAAAGAGGTGGCCATGGCTTTCCTAGCTACAACAAATAACAAAATGGGAAAAACCTAGGTACTGCGTAAGGGAGAATATGTACCAAGTCAATGGTGACGCATCAAGTAGTTGCTTAGATACAGATATGCATTCTGCAAGTCTAGACAATGGAACACAAACATCCTGCATGAACAACAATTGGGGCGGCATTAGAATTTACAAGACTTGATACAGTTCATCCACTGAAAACCAACAGATAATAAGGCTACAATAATCATAATGAGCATTGGCCGATCTCTGTGAGCATATGAGATAAAAAAAATTATGAAGCTGACAAGATCTGCATTTACCACCAAGGGACAAAAAAGCCATATGTTGATTCAAAAAAGAGAAGAGAGCGGCGCCAGTTACCCTTTAGGCCTTTACATAACTGAGAAGATATTTCGTTGCTATTTGCTAAGTACCCTATACTTGAATGTGAACTAAAATTGGATCACATTCCATATTTTCGCCAAATGATGATTAAATTGGTGCATGTTGACAAATGCCAAGATTCACAACTAAGGAGGTAAACATAATGGTATATGATGCATGCCACTAGAGACTAGATATCTCTAACCAACCAAAAAGGTGATGACTATAGTGATATCAAATACTGAGCAAGCAATCAAACCGTTATCATAGCTTCATGATCAGGTTTCATGGCAAAACCAGCCCAAAGTGCCTCCTTCCTGATCTGCACATAGAGGAAAATGCCATTAAAATATGCTTCAAGAACAAATATCATATATATCACAGTACTACTATTCTCCAGAAACCAGGGAACATAATGTCGTACTGTATGACACTGGTATTGCATGGCCTGTGCACAATCATGCGGCACAAAGAAACATCTGTAGATTAGCTCTACAATTTCAGATGACTGACCTTCCACAGTTCCTCTTTAGCATTTGGCTCCTCCACAAAAATAAAATCAGAACCATGGTGCTCTGCAGCAATCTTTTGAACCAACAGTGTTTGTTCAAGTGCATATGCTTCTGAATAGTTGCAATGGAAAGTAACAAAGAGAAGGAAGATCAGTCAGTTCTTGATGTGTAAGCTGAAGGAATGTTTGCAGCTTAAGAAGAGCTTTTAAGTAACTTGTCCAAGCAAGTGAACAACCAACAGAAGACGATAGTAAATTACTGAATATGTGTTAATTACATCCCCAAGATAAGGAACAGCTGTAGACCACAAGCATGAGCTATGGGTATCACTTCTGAAAATTGTCTAGAGTCTACTAAAAAGTAGTGTGCACAAAGTGAATTTAGTTTTAATAGAGAGATCGCAATGTTAGGAAAGCAACTTAACTTTATTGAAGGCCCAAGGGGCATATATATATATTACACATGACTTGAGGTGCAAGGAAACTAAACATAGACTAATAAGGATTCCTAGACCAATACTAATATACTCCTTAACACACACCCTCAAATGCAAAGCGTATGCAATAGCATTGCATTTGAAGAAGCGTAATTCTAGAAAAAAATGATAATCCAAATCCGCATCTTGAGAGTGTCGTCGCAGCATGAAGAATCTTCAAAACCTGTCGAGTCGCCAAAGGGGATAACGAAGAGATGGCACATCAGAGGAAGACACCGCATCAATAGAAGATACAAAAGAAGTATCAAGAGAAGATGGGTTGTCAAAAGAAGATGGCACATCAAGAGAATGAAGCATTTGCTTAAAGAATCATGGCCCATGTTAACCGACGGCGAAAGAAGCACGGCGGCAAGAGAATGGGCTTAGATCAACAATGCAAAGAGAGGCCACAGAAATCCTATTGAGAGGACAATGACCAGAAAAAGGCTGGCAGACAAAAGTTTGGTGGACTCACATGACAAAACACAAAATTTCAACGGATTTGGTGGACGCAGCGGAAAACAAAGAAACTAGAAACGGCAGGGGACCAGGGGACGGGAGCACCATGTAGCAGCAGGAAGCAACATCACGTAGCAGCAGGAAAGCAGCAAGCAGCACCACGTAGCAGGAGGAAGTAGGTAGCTAGCACCAAGTTGCTGCCGGAAGCAACTAGCACCAAGTAGCGGAGATCCAGTAGCGTGCTGAGAGCACCGGTGGCCGGCAGCAGGATCCGGAGGGTGGCATCGATGGGATCCACAGCTGGGACGGACGGGGCGTTGACCCGGAGACCTGGTCCCGGAGCAGACGTGTGCCCACAGCGACTAGGGCGGCCGCCAGAGAGCTTGTCGTCTGTGTCGATCTGGGAGCAGCGTCGTCGATGCGTGCCTTCGATGCGTGGAAGAAGACGGGCTTCGATATGTGCCTTGGAGACGATCGAGCAGCGCAGGCCCGCAGCAGAGGAGAGCGTCGAGCAGACGCAGCTGAGACCTGGCGAACCAGCAGCGCAGGAGGACGCGCGTAAAGCCATACAGCAGGCAGAGAAGCGGTAGGCCCGCCGGCCGGAGAGAGGAGCAGCGGCGGCCGATGCAAAAATTGGATCGGGACAGAGATTGGAAAAAAAAATCCAATTGAGGGCGAGTTGCGCATCCGGAGACCTAAACCTAGGCTCTAATACCATGTTAGCAAAGCAACTTAACTTTATTGAAGGCCCAAGGGGCATATATATATATTACACGTGACTTGAGGTGCAAGGAAACTAAAAATAGACTAATAAGGATTCCTAGACCACAATACTAATACTCCTTAACACGCAAGAGGTATATGTACACCAGAAAGTTTTAACTACTCCCTCCGTCCCATAATATAAGATGCTATTACAGCCAGTACATTGGTTGTAATAGCATCTTATATTATGGGACGGAGGGAGTATATGCTAAGTTATAACCTAGAATACAAAAACAATATATTGCTGGTATAGTAGATAGTGTCATTCTTTACCTGTTATTGTCAATCACGCAATATCAAATTCACAAACTATTAGTATTATAGATACAAAATTAAGACCATGGAAATGAATCTGTCAGTTATGTCAATATGCCTGCAAAATCTAAGCATTTTTTATGTTTATATTCCTCTTTGTAGTATTATATTCTTTTTAATGTAGTGAAATCTTCTTGGGGTGTGTATTTGGGTGGTTGCATGCATAAAACTTCGCAGTTTGAACCGTTGCGGCAACTTGCATAATTCCTTGTACATATCATGCGACTCTGATCATCAATCTAGATACTGATTTAAGGAATGTGCACATATTTCAAATTTATCTAGATTGTACTACTAGAACTCAGGACTGCCACCATAGATGCATAATGCAATATAAATGGCATAAAACTGCAAGTTAGGTTACCTGTCCCTATGAATTCAAACATCAAGGTCGGCACTTCAGGCAAGCTTTTACCGTTTGCCATGTTTATTGCCCTTATCTGAACCTCATCTAACAATTCCACTCTCGAGACCTAACCAACCAGAAAAAGATAGTATCAGTAACTAACTAGCCAACAACAACCTTACTGAATTTTGGTTACCCACTGATACATCTCAACAAATGTAACTTGTACTCAAGCACTTCAACTGAAGTCAAGCTAACACCTACAATAGTCCCCGAAAAACATCTAACACCACCATCGACGGCCACTTAATGTGCAACGGACAAATTATGTCACATGAACAAATACGAACATGGAGATATGAACATTAAGTCCATGTGGTAACTGGTAAGGATGTCGATTATTTCATATTTGACTTACAATTTTTTCAAATGTCATAGCAATGAAAGAAAAACGGAAGGACACGGACAAACCTGTATGCCAGAATGCATTGTTGCAATAGCAACATCAGCAGCATCCTTAACCGTTTGAAAATTGCACATAGCAACCTGAATATAGAGAGCATTTAGGAGGAATGAGTTCATAGGTAAAATGAAGACGCAGAGAGAACTACAAAAAAAGGTCGACAAAGCTAGACGAATAAGGTAGCATGCTATGCATGTCCATTACTCTTTCAAAACTTCTAACATTGAAAATGGTACATGGTTTGCTACTAGAAATGGCAAAACAAGATGAATGTTGTGGCGACGTGAATACTGGTGCATTGTAAGAATAGCCGTGTTGCGGTTTATATGTTATAACTTAGGATTGCGGACCGCCTTCCCACGTGGAGGGCGTCCATGCGAAGGTGGGTCGCCTCACCTGGGGGCTGGTGTTCCGGACCTTAGCAGGGCCGCGACCAGCCTAAGGATCCGCTGGTTGTGGAGGATGTGCACTGAACTCCTCCGCTCTGGGAGAGGCCTCGACCTGTAATTCTCCCACGATGAGTGTGAGGTGTTCGCCACAATGGGCCGCATCCACCAGGATGGTGGTTGGTGGCAGGACCTCAGCCTTATTCTGGGAGGATCGCTGGCTCGATGGCCGTGCCATTTCTGAGATTGCGCCTGAGCTCCTAACGTTGGTCTCGGGTGCATCAGGAAATGCCGGACCGTCAGCGATGCCTTGGCTGGCCGCCGTTGGATCTCGGATATCAGAGGGGCCTGAGCCCATTGGCACTCTGGCAGTATATCGAGGTCTGGTGGTTGGTGTGCCGATACTCC